ACCTGTGCCGCGCGTGTGTGACGAATGGGAGGGTACGTTCCTTCAGCCGCGTTGCGTTTCTCTTGCTGGAAGGAAAGAAATGCCTGGAGAAACTGCCTGGAATGGGCGATTCTCAGACACGCAAGTCGCAACAGGGGGAAAGTGCCATGCAGCTTCCTTGCTTGTTTGGTTCGGAAGGTGGGTGAGTGTGGACTGCTGAGGTGTGTGTGTGGAAGGTGCAACTTTTTTGGGGCCCTGCTATTCGTGTACAAAGTGGAAGGACGTTCCAGAGCTGGGAGATTGGGGGTTGTAGCCTGCCGCGCTAATGCTCCAAAAAGCTTAGCTGGCACGGGACGAATGTGCCTCTTTCCGCCCAGCTTGTTAGTCTCAGTTGGGCGATTGACCAATTAGAGCTGGGTTGCTTTGCGTAGTCGGAATACGGCAGCTTGAGTGGAGGCCGAATCCTTGACTTACAAGCAAATTACTATCAAACAACGCTACGAGTACCTCGGATGTTACGTAGGTAGATAGACATGAGTATACGAACTCTGCACTTCAGTTCGTAGCTGTCCAGAAATTTCGTAAGTCATCTTGGCGTCGAGAAAGTCATAAGGCGCAAGGATTCAATACGGTAACTGAATTTGCTCAACGTTTTACGACGGGAATGACAATACCGAAAGACAAGTTGTGCAAAAAACTCTGACTTGGGAGGATTGATCTTGAAGTCTTGACATTACCTTTATATTCCAAGCGGAGATCCGCATTGGATGATTACAAGAAGAGATACGGTGCATATTATGAAGTTTTTCAAAGGACCCGTCATTCACTTTTCCGCCATCTTATTCATTTGTTCCTCCTGCTTCATCCTCTTCCTCTGGTATGGTCGTGAGAGAGGTTGACTGGTCAGCAGACCAGCTCTCTGGCAGTCACTCAAATGTAAGATCATTAGGTCATGGATACGCTTCATACTTAGCCATGTTATAACTTATATCCAAACAAGCGCTACTTATAGTATGTCCTCAACTTCAAAGAACGATTGAGATTCAAACAGCATGATACAATACAGAATCGTAGTCAGTCACACACAGCGCTAGCCAGAAAGGATGACCACAGAGGCCGGCCGCAAAGGCCGAAGGCGGCCGCAAGGAGGCTCACTCATCCTCAACGCACGAAGGTGCTATAGGGACCAACAGTACCTCACATGCCACGGACCGCCAATCGAAAGGCTTGATCGGTAGAGTATCAGTGAAGTCTCCTGAGGTTTTCATGCGACAGCATTTCGATTCGGGGTGGTCACCCTTTTTTTGTCTTTCCCCTCTCTTTTATATCCTTAGCCTCAGATATCTCATTACTATCTTCACATTCTGTGAAATATCAAACTCTCATCACTGAGCAAATTCTTTCCCTAGACTTCAACACGAGATCTCAACAGAGGCATGCAAGACGGAATGGCAGTCAAGGTCGCCATCGGGAAGATTAAAGTGGCTGCCACCGCAGTTTGACCCGCTGAACGTCTTTATCGTACAGTCCCTGCAGGAGATTAGATTTCTTCTGAGTTGGGAGCGATCAACAGACATACCTCTTCTGAAGAACTTTGATGGATTGCTTATTGGTGAAATGGATGGCTTATTGTTGACAGGTATGCATCGGTACGCACCGCTGCCGGTCACCTCGAAGGTGCTTTAGTCTGAGTTGCAAAGATCGTCACTGAAGGAGACGACCTTGGCCCAGTTGTCTCTGACTTCGAGATCCACCGGGTTGGCAATGACGAAAGTGGCGAGGGAGGTGATCGAGGCAAGAGTGGGGAAGTGCATCGTGAGTCTTTGGTAGTGCAAGGGCTTAGGTAGTATGAAAAGAAGTACGAGGTTACAAGTGTGATTAAGAGTGTATGCATAGGGAGTTGAGTAGGTAGAGAGAGGAGCCCGTGCCGTCTACTTATAGTCATGAAAATGCCGGCGAGGGAAATAGATGGACCGTGGAGGCAGCAAAGCGACATTAGGGCTGCAAGAATAGACAGCATTGCGTCAAACGGCGCCTTGTAAGCCATCTTATTCGGACGAATTGAAGAGCACATAGCCACACATGGTGTTATACAAGCCGACCACGAACAGGATTTTGCTGAAGCTGGCGTCAGCTGTTATTCAAGCACGACTGAACTCTTGTATTACACCGCCATTCCTGTCTTAAACTGATTTTTCAGTGGGATTCCATAGTCTCTGATACGTTGGTACGACTTTGAATTGAGAAAACGGCCAGTTCTAGAAGACTTCGAGGGACTTGGCTTCCGAATTCTCAATCTAGGATCGGCTCAAATACCTCGTGTCATGACTGTTCCATGCAAGCCAACATGTCCAGTGAAGGCATTTGAATTTAGGGATACAGCACCAAAAGGAGCTTATGAGTTGTAAATCATCTAATCCTATGGTATCTGCGGCTGTGATAGGAGGCTGACACCCGAAGTTCGGATCCAGGGCCCGAATACCTTGCATCAATGTACCCTGCCTTAGGTGTGTTGTCATTAGCGAGAAGCATTCCTCTATGAATTCGAGTTTTTCGTACCTTGAAGTCCGAGTGATCCCAATCAACAGAACCCTCTTCCTCTCCAGCCAAAAGATGTTGAATCTTGCTGCCTAAGGTCTCTCGTAAACTTCATTATTATTGGAGTCTGCAGGTTTCTTTGCATGACAATGAAGGAATATGGGGGTAATTTAGTGAACAAGAACCGCGGGGTAAAACTCCAACTGCACCGGAGAATCCCCGGCTCGGCTCAGTCAGATTACATAAGAAATATTTACCCCGCCAAAAAGCGCATTTGGCCGGCTCACCCCGCCACAGGGCGTGGACTGCAGCACCGAACATCGGGACGGCCGATTACGCCATTCAAACGCTCCAGACGGGAAATGGGTCTCGAGCTGCCGTGAAGCAAATCAGCGTCTTCCAATTTTCGGAGCTTCGTTCTGGAGTACTACGGATAGGTTAATCGAGGAGGCCGACTCACAACCCTCTTCGCCGTGCCGCTCCGACTCCTCTTCTCATCCCATCGCCCTCTTCATGACCTCCCTCGTCCTCCCTCTCTTCCGGTCGCGCATCACCAGCACCAGTACCGTCAGACGAGGTTTCCAGTCCACCGCAATGTCTCTCAGCAGCAAGCTCAAGCCCGCGGCCCGCGTCGCCGGCCGGCGACAGGATGTCTGGTGTGTATTGAGATCCCGGTCGTCGTGAGAGACAGAAAAGTATGCGCCAGCGCTACTTCTGACAAATCTCTGTTGGTCGATGATGAGCAATTGAGTGCAAGATGCTAACCGTGAGACTAGGTCCATCATCAACGAGGCCGCTGCCGCTTCACCCAAGCAGCCCATCGTGAATATGGGACAGGGGTTCTTTGGCTACAACCCTCCCGACTTCATTCTCAACGCCGCCAAGCAAGCGCTGGATCGCGTCGAGTGCAACCAGTACAGCCCTACCAAGGGTCGCCCAAGACTCAAGAAGGCCATTGCGGACGCCTACTCTCCTCACTGGGGCCGCAAGCTGGACCCCGAGACCGAGGTCACCATCACTACTGGCGCAAACGAGGGTGAGATGAGAAGGCCTGGAGAGGAGTAAGACGATCTTAGAATATGGACTGACTGGTGACTAGGCATGCTGAGTGCTTTCATGGCCTTTATTGAGCCCGGTGATGAGGTCATTGTCTTTGAGCCCTTCTTCGACCAGTAAGCCAAACCACGAGTGCTGTTCATGATACGTCCCAGTCATGCTGACTCCTTGGAAAGGTACATCAGCAACATTGAGATGCCCGGCGGCAAGATCACCTACGTTCCCCTGCATCCTCCCACAGACGGCGCCACGGCGACATCATCCGCCGCCAACTGGACTATCGACTTTGACGAGCTCGAGCGCGCCATCACACCAAAGACCAAGATGATTGTCCTCAACACACCACGTTCGTCGCCACTTCCCTTGCAGCTCCAAATACAGGGCGTGTTTTGCTGACATGTTGACACAGACAACCCCGTCGGCAAGGTCTTCTCCAAGGACGAGCTCCAGAAGATTGGCGACCTATGCGTCAAGAACGAGATTATCATTCTCTCCGACGAGGTCTACGACCGCCTGTACTATGTCCCCTTCACGAGAATAGCCACGCTCTCCCCCGAGGTCGAGCGCCTCACAATCACCGTTGGCTCCGCGGGCAAGAACTTCTACGCTACCGGATGGCGCGTGGGCTGGCTTATGGGTCCTGCCGAACTTATCCAGCATGTTTCTGCGGCGCATACTCGTATTTGCTACTCTTCCGTCTCGCCTCTGCAAGAAGCTTGCGCTGTTGGTATGTTGCCCCCTCTCTCTCTACCTATTGCTTTTCCCTAGCAACCTTGGATCTCATTGTGACTAACCCCGCGTCCGACAGGTTTCGAGCAAGCCGAGAAGGAAGGTTTCTGGGACGAGACGATCAAGGACATGAAGGGCAAGATGGACCGCTTCAACGAGGTGTGGAAGGAGCTCGGCATGCCCTACTCGGAGCCCGAGGGCGGCTACTTCGTCCTCGTCAACATGGCCAAGGTTAAGCTGCCCGAGGACTACCCGTTCCCGCCCCACGTCGCCAGCCGTCCGCGCGACTTCAAGCTCGCGTGGTTCCTCATCCAGGAGGTGGGCGTCGCCGCCATCCCGCCCACCGAGTTCTACACGGATGAGAACGCGCACATTGCGGCGGATTACATCCGTTTCGCGGTCTGCAAGGAGGACGAGGTGCTCGAGACGGCCAAGGAGCGTCTTCGTGGGTTGAAGAAGTATATCAAGGAATAGATGAAGATGCGAGTATGTTCATAGAGGATACAGATCGCGGTGACACGAGTATGTACCATGCCTGTCATAATTTCCCATGTTCTTCTACCCTCTTCAAAGAGTGAATAGACAAAATCCGAGCCATATAGTTTCTCCCTCAAATACATTCCTTATCACCCCGCGTGTAGTTGACATAAAACATTCATCTTTGCCTCATTACGCGTCAAGGAACAAATCCCAAGCGTTCAATGGTGATGGTGATGGCGCCGATGGTTAAGCCCGCCACCCGTAGACGCCGCGCAAGCATCCCCGACGCCCCCGAGCGCTCCGCCTTCCTGGCAGACGTTCTCGGGACCGCAGTAAGTCACAAAGAGGAGACCCGAGTCGCCCGGTACGGGGACGCCTGCCGGCGCGCACCAGAAGACGGACTGATTGACGTGCGTGTCGTCGATGGACTGCCTGCCCGATGTCAGAGCGCCTTCAATCGCCTTACGGTTGTTTGTGTCTAAGCTTGAAGTTAGAATAGAGGCTTCTTGAATGATTCTAACCATAGAGATCAGAAGATTTGATGAAGGGATACCAACCGAGCTTGAGGAGGCGGGAGCCGCAGTAGGTTTCGGCTTGGGTGCATACTACGGCGAAGGCGGCGCTGGTGAGGGTGGAGATGATGGCCGCGATGAGGGCGAGACGAGACATGTTTGCTTTGGCCTCTTTTTCTTTCCTCTTTTCTCGATGTCGGAGATTATGATTGACGACTGTTGAAAAGTTTCTGCAAGGCGTCGGTTTGTCTGAGGTTCATATGCCGGTCGCAACGTTCGTGAAGGGATGGTGGCCCATCCCTTTGGTATCCCTTTGGCACAGGGCGGACGGGACGATGAAAGCGCCAGGTCAAGCTCCGGCTTCAAGCATCACACAATTGAGGAGTCACGCGAGTCAGAAAGCTACATGATTTTGGTAGATGAAACAGCGCGGTCGCAAGCTGTGTTTTTCTATATGCCCAGGTCCTCGCCCACACCATGGGCATCATCAGGGCTTACGAGATAATACCGCAGGTGGAACAATATCACGAGTGCAACAATTCAAGGGTAAATCATGTGCCATGATGCTTGATGTAACTACTGATCTGTGTCTTCAGGTGGATCAAGCTATCCGAAAACCCATGAGGTAATCACGAGACCTGGTCGCCTCAACCAAACCATGGTCTAGACCCAACCGATGCCAATTCCTATTACCTCCGCATCATCTTAAACGCCAGCCTAAGCTACAAAAAGGCCTCCAAACTGTGATTACCAGAAGGAACCCCAAATGCCAGTAGAAAAGAATCGTAAGGGGTCGAAAGTGAAGAGCAAGATACCGCAACCGGGCAAGAAAATAGCCGTAAGATCCTTTAGATCTCGCCAGTGTTCGCGGCGCCCGACATCTCGACGTCGCCATTGGCAGCCTCATCCTTGACCTCAAGCTTGGCGACATCAGCGGCAGGAGCGTCCTTGCCATCAGCAGCCTCCTCGTTCTCGGAAGCCGCCTTCTCGGGAGCAGCAGCAGCAACAGCAGCCTTCTTGGTATTGGCAGGGGTCTTGCGCTTGGCGGCGGGAACCTTCTTCTTGACGGGCGTCTCGGGCTCGGCCTCCTCGTCAGCGTTCTCGTCGCTCTCGGTAGTCTTGGCGGCGGCCTTGGGAGTAGCAGCGGCCTTCTTCTTGGCCGGGGTGGCGCGCTTCTTCTTGGCGGGCGTCTCGACGACGAGCTTCTCCTCGCCGTCCGAGTTCAGGTTGGCGCCACCGGCAGCGGCGAGCTCGTCGGCGTCGTCAGAGCTAGTGGTAGCAGCGGCGGCGGTAGCGGCCTTTCTCTTGGACGGAGTGGCAGTCTTGCGCTTGGCGGGGCTGCTGCCGGCGCCGTCGCTGGACTGGGCGGGGAGATCGGAGAAGAGTTTCTTCTTGATATTGCTCCAGGCGTTGGAGGCCGAGCGCGGGTTGGTCATGCCGCAGGCCGCGGCGAGCTTGGCGTAGTCAACCTAGAGGACAGAATTATTGTTAGCGGTGTACAATGAGTGAGGTAGATGGCGAAGGAGTTTAAGTGAGGGTAGATCTTACCTCGGGAACGCTCTTCAAGGAGCTCCAAACGTGCTCGAGGATCTCGAGATCGCGATCGGTGAGGATGGACTTGGGGTCAGCAGCAGCCTCGGAGGAAGACCCGGCGGAAGACATGATGAATGAGTATTGATGAGAGTGCGATGAGGATTCAATGATCTGTGATGAGAGGCGAGGACATGCAAGTAAATATGCAAGAGTGTGAAAGCTGTGGTGTGCCGAAGGGTGACGGAGGAGGAGTGGGCGGGTAGAAGTACGAGTCCTGGAAGAAGAGGAATGAGATGGATGTAAAAGAATGAAATCTACAGACCCGCGGGAGAGTGAAGATCTTTTTTATGGGAGGGCCTGTGGCAGATGGGCTGCAGATATTGGAAGGTAGTGAGGAGGCGGGAGAAGTCAAAGGCAAGTACGAGAATGAGAATGAGATTGAGAGCGGTGTGGCAGACAGAGTGAGAGCGAGGATGAGAAACAAAGTGAGCGAAACTTGAGCAGAATCAAATGAAAAACTCATATGAGTGTGCGAAAATTCTAATCTGAACGAGAAAGAACGATCGTCCGGCTATTCTTGACGGCAAGAAGTAGGTGAAAATCACAGAAGACGTCGAAGGCAACAGCGAACCACTGGCAGGTTAAGGCAAGCCGGCCAAGATACTAAAAGAATATTTCCATGAACGCCAGCTTGAATTAAACATTGATCTACGGGCAATCATGGCTGGAATTTGAGAATGCCTTACTGACATCATGTTTCGTTGTGTTTTTCTGCTTCAGCGTGGCAGGCTGCAGCAACATATGAAGCAGGATGAGAAAGTTCACATAGGTCCACAAAGCAATCTCACTTGGGTTCTCCACTGATCGTTCAATGTTTGACTCGAAAGTTCCAATCACTTCAATCAGTTTTCTTCACATTCTGCTGTCCCGTCAGTTCTTTCTTCATTCTGAGAATGTACAAGCCTTTGACTTGATTGACCTTTCGAAGAGTCACGAGTCAGGCCGCAACAAAACACATATCGAATATCGACAGGCAAAGTCAACAGGCTTTAGACATTCCACCAGAATGATTAAAGGGTTTGGGTTTTACTTGTATTAGCCACTGCTCAATTGCTGATTCCTGCGATGCTTGCCAGTAACCCCTCCCTGGACCCGAAATAATATGCCGCTACACCTATCAGTCCGGGAATCACAACCCATGTCGCCTTCCTCACGATTGCGACCGCACCTTTCCTGATGATTATCTGCAGCTTTTCGTGGAATGCCTCATGGTCATTGGCATAGGGAAACGGAACATCAGGAATAGAATTCCCCAAGAAGGCACACAGTGGCTCCCACCCATCCTTCAGGTTGTAGTGGAGCAACCGTTCAGGGGGCGTTTCTCTCCGAATAGTCGCGTAATGGTTTCGATACCCATCGCGAGCCTTCTCTAGGACTTCTTTCCTTGTCTCTGCACCAAAGGTGTACTTTAACCACGTGAAAGTGATGTCGTCAATCTCCGCCACATGTTTGGCTCGCAACCACGACAGGAATCGCCAGACGGGGTTGAACGCGACGGTGACGATACTCTCGTCGAAGCTCTTGTACCAGGATTCAATGTCACGCTCGACGAGAACAACCTTGGACTTAGGGTATGTCGCCACCAGCTCGGGTTCGAAGAAGTTAGCTGGCATATCGCAAATGGCTCCGCAGTGACCAAGGAGCTGGTCGAATTCTGTGCGACCGAATGGTTGCTGGTCTGGCTTAGGGTTCTGCTTCGCATGCATGCCCTCCATCCACATTTCGACTTCGGAAATGTTTGAGACCATGGCAAATCCATGATATACATCGTTGTAACCAAGGATCATTTATGCTCGTTGCATATCGGCATCTCGTTAGAATGATTGATGAAGCCGAAGGCCTGGACATCCTTAGAAGTTACTTACATGACGTGCCCGTCTTAGACATCCCCAAAGCCAAGACTTCAAGAGGTACGACACGCTTGCATTGCCGCCTGTCAATGTCCAAATCCGGCTTGAATAGTTCTGGGTGCTTCTCTTTCTCACTTTGCATTTGAGACATTGTGAGCTGGTCTCATGTAGAAGTTCGCAATACGCCAATGAGAGTATGGTAGGTGAGATAGGAATTAGCTAGACAGGGATGCTGGAGACACCTTGTAGATAAAGAAGGAAAAGCTTTCGTGTTTTCGGGAGGAAGCAAACGTAGCTATAGGATCGGCAATCCCACTTGTACTTTCTCAAGACGAAACCGGCCTTGGTTGTGAACTGAGAACCCCGGTTCTAACAAGTCTTTCAAACCCAGCTTGTCACATTGGATTGTATCATGTTCACATATGACAAGCATCTTGTGGCTTCGGAGGGAAGCCATCGTCTCCGCGGCTGGGATCCGAATCTCTAGTGCCTTGGCTCCACATATCGGCCTGCGGGCCGCCTCCGATGAGCCAAGATCCCATTTTGCGGCCGAATTTCGGTGCACGAATAAGAGATCATATGTGATTCAAAGACGAGCGTCACCGTTGGCAATACCGGCACAACTAGATACGAAGAAATCCAAGTACTTCACCCTGATATTCAACGTCGGATTCGTGCAAATGAGATAGCGAAACACCAAGTTGAGCTCGAGATCCTGGTGCTACCCGTACTTTGCGCACCGGATGCTACCAGTGTGCTTCACGCCGAGGATGTTCGTCTTTCAGGAAATGATCTTACAGACGTTGACCTGTAGCTTAATTACACATAAACATAAACCTTTGTTCGGATATTAAGATGTCCTGTTTTCTTATATCGAACTCAGACTGCGAAGTCAGGTTCGCGACTCATTAACAAGGTGGAATTGGACACATATTCTACATGCTTAGGAGCCCGCACGGAGAAAACCTCCCGAAAAACAAAAGATCAAAGTGGGCCAAGGACTCGGTTGCTGGGGGAAATCGAAAGACATTCTTGGCCGAAATCCTTCGCTAACGAATTAACTTGTTTACTGGAGACTTCCCCCGGCGAGGCAAACATGCATATGCAGTGGACTACGTCCTTTCACGTGAACCAACGAAGTGATCCATGACATCTTTGATGGATATGAGTGCCTCTATTAGGAAGCATTTCCGAGGAAAGTCGTTGTTGGAAAAAGGATGCCCATTGCCAAGTGATAACCACGAAGACATGGCTCAACGTCTGATTAATCTCACATGTTAGAACCAACAACTCTTTGGCATGTTGATTATTGTTCCGCAAACAATATCCTTCAAAAGCTCCAGGAACCCAGTACATCAATGCAGCTTCACTAGGTTGTCGTTTGCGCTCATCATCTCTCGAATGCCCTTCCTGAGAGCGGCAGCATTTCGAAAGTTCCGCCATGGCAACCGCCGCAGATGTCGTCTACATGGCCGAACCACCCATCTGTGAGGCTCGATTTGCAGCTAAGACAGTGGGCATCGTTATGAGAGCTGCAGGGGTCTCGACGACTGTCATTTCCTTATTGGCTGTTTTCCTTCGAATATTTACCAGACTACATGTTGATGATTGTAAGCCGACTGGTTCTCAATAGTTCCATGCAGAGACCTGATGATCTGAGAGACCTACTAAGTATTTGGAAACCAGACTTGATTATCACTTCAATGGTCATGAGCATTGCCTTCTTGGATACAGGAATGAAAGGTAAGTTCGCGTTCATTCCTGCTGTTCTGCCTGCCCTATTTCTTTCCAACTTAGTGATCGATCTTGGCGTTGCATCGCATTTCTGGCAGGTGACTTATGCCGATTATAACCCCGGTTCTCTCATTGTAAGTTGACGATTGCCCACTAATCATAACTTTGAGTAAGATACGAGCTACCGAACGGATATCTACGCAAGGCATGCTTCGGAAAGCTGACTCGAATTGACACCAGTACGGCACATGTACCACCGTGACGTATTCTCTTAGTGTTGTACTGTCGAAACTCTCCCTCTTGTTCCTCTACCTGCAGTCGTCTCCCGATCGAAGCTTTCGAATCATCGTCAAAAGTCTCATCGGAAGTGTCATCGCTTATTCTATGGCCCATCAACTGCTGAGCATCTTTGGATGTCGCCCTATCTACGCATCATGTGACGCAGAGGCACTGCAGACTGCCCGCTGCGTCGACAAAGAGACTATTTATATGATCCTCAGCATCGCAAACATCATTATGGACGTCGTCATACTTCTGCTTCCGCTGGAAATTGTCATTCCACTTAAAATGGCTCGAAGGCAGAAGGTTTCTGTCATATTATTGTTCGCCACTGGTACGTTGTGAGAGCCTTTGCCTCCTTGTTTTCTATCTCTATCTTATTCCGTCAAAGTATCACTCCAGTCCTAACTGCTCGTAGTGTTTGTGCATCGGCGATCAAACGGATGATCATCCTTCCATCACTGTTGAAGAGTGCTGGTTACAGCTGGGATGTAGCCGAACAATTCAACTGGTCCTTCCTCGAGGCGAATGCCGGCATTGTGTGCGCCTCGGTCCCTGGGTTGAAGCCTTTCTTTGTCCGATATCTGCCAAGCTTCATTTCTTCACATATCACCGGATCTGCTGACAAGAGCGGAAAGAAGTCATTGCCATACTCCACTGTCATCGAGAATAACAGAAAAAGACACAACATGCAGTCCGAGTCGTACGAATTACAGTCACATGATGATCTTCCAGAAGAGTTCGGGAAAAGCAAAATGTAGCGATGACGAAGCTGAGTTATGGTCTGGAAGGAGGTACCGCACGGATATTTTCAGTGAGCGGGAGACAGTTATCGAATCTGAATCAAATCAGCACCGAAGGACCAGTAGCGGAATAGATCATGCGGCTAATGAAGTGACTTCAATGGCGTTGAGTCAGTCTTATTTGCGAATAGAAACGATGGTCGAGTCACGCCGTCAACGGCCGCTCGAATTCAAGTCACCCACGAGACCACAGTCTCGTATGATCCCCGAACACAATAATAGCTATGTAGTCAAAGAATAATTCTCAACTACTCCATAGTACTTACTTTTTGGCATGCTTGAGATACCAGAAACAGCATTGAGGCATAATCGAATGCTCCCACGGGTGAAACGAGGCTCCAAAGCGCCATGAACTTTGGTCTATCCGCACGAGTTGCTACTTCTCACAGCACTTCCCACAACAAGCACCGCTGGAAGAAGTATTTGCTGTTCCAATGTACATAAGAAACAGAGCTAATACATCAACACCATTGTCCTAGTCCGTCACTTCAGGGTCCGTGCGCCCTCTGGATGAAGCAACACGACATGTCGAGCCCTTGATGCAATGCTCGCTGTGGATGAAGAGACGAAGCAACGGCCGCTCCTCCCAGCAACTTACCGATTATCGTGAGATTGCCAACGCCCTGGTGGTCTAGCGGTATGATTCTTCCTTAGGGTTGTCATTAAACACATCCACCTGGAAGAGGCCCCAGGTTCGAATCCTGGCCAGGGCCCTGACCCTTTTGCCTGATCTCCACTGAATCCGTAGTGGAGCTCAGGGTCCTTTTTGAAGTAGGGCCGATGGTTTTCTACCAAGGATACGGAAGGTTTGTGCTTGCCATGGGAAACTACGTGTGGAACACCTATCAATTTCTTGGCGTTGGCTGGAGAATCCGACTCATCGGGTGCTCCGTTCTGTTTACTTTATCCATGCTGAAGTAGACAATGCCGAGTGGATGGAGCGAGACAAAGTGACTAAGAGAATAGGGGCCAAGAGGCTGAGTGTGTTCCAAGAGAATACGCTACTTACATGAAAGAAAAAGGCTCGAATATGCTTAATTGGACGCGTGAGATGTCACCCCAGATGGTTCCTGGCACGACTGGTTCTATGCGTGCCGCGTATGCAATTTTCATCCCAGCTAGGATGGTTACTAGTTAGTGTCTCACTATGTACGGGAGAGCTAAATTTGCACTGAGTGTGGGAAATGGTGCCTCAGTCGAAGCCGACTACTTGGGCATCTGCCTGGGAATCTATTGACCATGCAGGAGTGCGCAGAGAGCGTTTATTACTTCATAATTACATTACTACATTACTACTGTAGAACTATCGTAGCCCACGGGATGAAGGATCATCTGCCAAGAGCTGGCTCAAATAGACTCGACATTGCACATGAGGCGAAGCAAAATACATCCGGACCGGTGGCATCAACATCGTGTAAGCATTAAGCGGTGAGTCATCTAGGATAAGCTATTCTACAGAAATCTATCAGGGTATCATCTCTATATTATTAGACCAGTCTGGCTATGCAAAATTTGGGACAACTAAAGCGTTTTCTTCCAATCCCACTTAGTTGCCATGCCTCGCGAACATGCGATTGTGATGCTACCCAGCCCGAGGGTGACTCCTGCCCAGATCCAGGCGCTGATGTAGCCTACAGAGCGTACGAGTGCGCCGCCAACGGGAGAACCTAGCAACAGAGCAACAGACATTACGGCATAAGCCATACCAAGTCTGGTTCCGATGTACTTCTTGTCCTCCGTGAGAAGAGAAAATGTAGCCGGCTGCAGAGAGAAGAATGCTCCGCTGCTGGTTCCGTAAAAGATGACCGTCACCAACAACGCAGGGGTGTGGGTGACTGCCGAGAGACAGAATGCCGAAATCGATAAGGCCGCTACTGCGACGATGAGCATGTTCATCCGACCGAGTTGAGCGGTGAATAAGATTGGTACGGTGCGGCCGACAATGGATGCGCCGTTGAGGATCGCAAGCAGATACTTGTCGATCTCTGTGCTGACAGCATGCCTTGCCAACGCGTATCCCGGAATGTAGACGAACGGAGTGTACATGCCAAGGAACACGAGGCAGCAGGCGCCCACGAAAAGTAGATACGGGGCGTCTTTGAAGGCAGTGCGGTCAATCAAGGGTCTTCTGAAGGCTGAAGGTTTAGGCGGTTCCATGGTCACGATGGAAATGCTAAGGGTTGTGAGCGCGATCAGCGCCATGGTGCGCACAGTCCAGCGAAAGCCAATTTCTGGCTGGATCGATCTGAAAAGAATTGGCAATACCAGGCTATGAGAACACGATGTTAGTACGGATGGCCAGCCTTAGCCGGCGGGATACTTTCTGAGCCGGAGATTTTTGGTGAGGGAAGACTTACCCGCCAACACCGCTTCCAGCCGCTGCAATGCCGGTTGCCATGGGTAGCTTAGTCGTGAACCACGGCGATAAGATAGCAACTCCCAGCACAGCTAAACTTCCCTGTCCAACGCCGACACAGAGACCTTGTGTTAACAAGAGTTGCCAAAGATTGTGGCTGAGACTCTGGAGGATAGACCCGGTGACGATCAATGTGGTTCCCACCCAGAGAAGTTGCTTGGCGTATCCCAAATCAAAGATGGGGCCGGCAAAGAGGCCCAGGAACACCATCAAGAAACTTTGCAACGAGCCAATTGTGGAAATAGCGAAAGAGCTGTGTTCCTTCAGGAGGTGACCCTCATAGTAGACCTGGAAGGTACCGAAACTGGCAACAAGTCCTGGAATACTGTTAGTTCTGAACGCGCTCATTGCTTGGCTTAATCCCCAAATTGATGCAGGCTATGCGGGAGCCCGCGGGATTTCATTTGCCCAAAAAAGGCAGTGCACAGGACTTGAAATTACTGTATGGGCGGATGGTCCGACTTATGACTTACCCCACGTGTTGAAATAAATGAAAAACGAGCCAAGAACTTGCATCCAGGCTTTCAAGCCTCCATTCGGGGGCCCCGTCGGCTTAGTGGGCGACGGCGGCGGTGACTTGAACTCATCAATACCATCGCTACCGCTCTCTTCATCGAGCTTCTGCATTGGGTCTTCGCCCGGCCCGTAGGGCTTTTCTTTATCGGATGTGTACTCCATGGTTCTCTCAATACGAATAGGTTGGGTAGTATCGACCGCGGTTATTGCTAGCGCTGCAGGCGGCGGTGATGCAACTACCGGGATGGTATGTCGTGCGGTCCTTTCCTCGATTGGTGGACTTGACTGCGGCTGTGGCGTTGGTCGTACTGATTCGTTGTCAAGGCCGGCTTGATTAACAGAGCGAGAGATCATCCAGCGACGACGACGAAATGAATGAATTAACGATAGGTAAAGAGCTTGCTCAGCAGGCCTTTCTGACATCTATCCAGTTCTCCCACCTGAGCAAAAGAACGAGCAACAATGGAAAATTAGCCTTCCATTTTGTTTAAGTACAATAGACGGAGCCCTCCACGGACCCCCCAAAAAGCCGCCTGGGCCTCGCCGCAGCTCGGGTTGCGCCGCCCGCGGTCGCAGGCCACGTTACAGAGACCAGATGGACCTCCAAGTATGTCGTTGTTGCGATGACTTGGGGGAAAGTATAGCGGTAACCTTACCGTTTCCAGGTGGGATGTAAATAACCTGAGGCGAGGGGCCGCGAGTAAAATAAGGTGTAAGTCAGGCACAGTGGCCCTGGCTGTTATTGTTCGGGAAACTTCCAACGTCTCGGAGACCAGACAAGTCTTGACGCGGTCTGAAGAGTCAGAAAGCTTGAGGATTATGGTGGTTCGAGGCCCAATGAGGAAGTCGGATCGGCCAGAGCGGATAGGGATCAACGTTGCAGGCTGCGGTAGACGGAAAACAAAAAGTGTCAGAGTAGTCTATTACTGAACATTTCACTCGTAGAATGATGAACTCGCAAGCTACACATCATTTTTGGCATTTATGAGGCGGACTCCCCTAGTCAAATGTGTCCGCAACGAGGGGGGCTTCATCATGTCACATTGCGAGAATCCTCCAACGTCTCGGACCTCTTCTGGAATCTGCGAATGCCAACGGCTTTGAGGCATTTGAACCTCGTCGAAACTTCGGAGTAGTGGAGTTGACGATTGATAATTCTTGTGCGATTATGGTTAGGTTACACTGGGCGGTGAATGAGAAAATGCTTCTTTGAGTCTTTCTGGGCTGTTCGGCCATGGTCCGTCGTTTGGTAGCGGGTCTTATCAGCTTTTTGGCGTCGTTGTCTGCTATCTGAACGCCGAACTGCAGACAAATTCAGTCCGGGGCTCCTCTTCATAGATAAAAAAGATGCCGAGGCCCTCCTTATGTACGTCTTGGCGCGGTGATCGAAAATCGGGGACTGAATTCTCAACAACGCTGACTTAGCAGTTTATTAGCTAAGAGCCCTGAGAAACAAACCGCAAAATCCCGCTAGTTGCCGCCCTAGTTGCCGGCGCGCGCACCGGTGGGATGAAGAAAACATGAAAATATCTGCCTTTTGCATGACAACCGGAAAAACCGTCGGCGTGGGGGGAGTCTCAGGATGATGACGTGTTTATTCAGGGAAACTACGGAGTATCCCACATTCCTGGTCTGTAACCTGATGTTGGTTCAACTTGGTTCAAGCTTGTCTTCGGTTCGGTTCCGCGCTTTCTGCAGTGCCAGTTCCGAGCCGACGGAACGTGGCGGTCGTCGGGACTCGGAATGGGGTCCCGTAGCGATTGTCTGGAGATCAATGTGGCAGGTCGCAGTAAGGCCGCAGCAACTCCAAATAAAGTTGCAGATTGTGTGCTGAAGAAGCACAACCTAATAATGCTGGGGGCCCTTTCGCGCTATCAGCTATCAAGAGCCGATAGGTCTTCCTCGGTCTTTTCGGCTCTTCGGTTTCGGTTACAAGTCCCCTGAACAAGCAAGCGATTGAATCGACGCGCAGCGTCACGTTGGGGGCGAACGATAAATGACAACGTATCCGTAATTCGCACAGAGG